CAGGGTCACAGCCTCCTTTGGGTGTCCACCTGGTCTTCACCACAAGTTGCAGGGGAATCTCCTCCCCTTCCTTCTTCACTGACCCAGGTGCCTGCAGGGTTGTTTCTCTCACATCCTCTCACTCCTCTCTCTGGCTGCTGTTGCACAGCAATTTGTTGCCCCCTTCGTAAATATGTTACCACAGAGGTGCTGCCACCATCGCTGATGGGCTCGGCCTTGGCCAGTGGTGGGTCCATCTTGTAGCCTCTGGCATTGGCTGGGTCAGACACTGAGCTTCTGGCAGCTTCTCACACAAGCCACCCTGGTAGACCCCCCCATTACTAAAACCTTGCCACACAAACCCAGCACACAAGCTTTCAGCAGCGAGAGAATACCTGTGTGCAGAGCTCCTGATGTAGCTGGAGGAAGGAAAAGAATGGGAAATGTATGGATACCCACAGCTTTTGTGTTGTAGCTGGTCCTTGGCTGTGCTAGTTAAATACTAACCTCCCTCACCTCCAAACTTGCTTTGTTTGCTGTTGAACTTTACAAACACCTTTTGAGTCCCAGACTTGTCCTCTTTGGCCATCTGCACTCATATAATTCAGAAAACTTGTGTCTAAATCTTGCTGCTCCTTGCTTTTCACTTAGAGTTCTTACAGCTGGGCTGTAAAAAGAAAGCACAGGAACAGCGAGTCCCCTGTGAGTGTTACCTGAAGTAGCTGGGTCTAAATCAGGAGGGGGAGGGAGGGAGTGAGAGTGCTTGTGTTCTCTGAGCTCAGCACTGGGCTGATGTGAGTGTTGATGTGTAGGGGTTGTAGCCCAAAGGTCTTGCTTCTGAGTGGTAGTACTCGGGTTGGAGCCTGTGGCTGTGTGACTAGAGGTGGGGCTGTTTAAACTGAGAACAAAGTTCCTTCCTTTTCTCATTTAGGTTCCTGCTCTGGCAGGGGAATTGGACTGGGTGATCTTTTGAGGTCCCTTCCAATCCCTGATGTGATTCCTGTGTGCAATCACTCTCTGCTTAACTATTGCATTTCATTTGTCCCTTTACCCAGCCACTTAGTCTTGTGCAGCTCTTCTGCAGCCGTCTGACCAGGCTTCATCTTCCCCACCTTGAAAAGCTCAGATTTGTCAGCAAACTCTGCCAGCTCCCCTGCACCCCCTTCTTCAAGGCTGTCTAGAAACTTGTTCAGAGTAGGAGCCCCAGCAGGAAGCAGTGTGGTGCTCCACAGGTGTCTCCCATATGCTTGTTATTTCCTCCCTGACTTTTTAAATCCCAAGTTTTTGCAAGGACTTTTCCTCTTGTCCCATTGAAGCTTACTGTCTTTTAAGAGCCCTTGAAAAACCCTTCTTTGTAGTGCTTCAGCAGATTGGGGACAGCATGTAATGGAGTGCTGGCTGACCAGCTGGTCACCTCCAGTGCTCTCAGGCAGCCTTTTGTTGGCTCTGTGTCCACACATCTGCATCAAACAGTGTGAAAAAAAATCAGTTTCATTGTGTGTCTTCTTAAAGACACAGTTTAGTCTGCTGCACTTAACAGTGCATGCTGCCTTCTAGATGTTTTGCTCTCCTGACATCAATGCAGAGTCTCCCAGTGATTTTGGAGCTGATCTGTACTGAGATATCTCTTTCTGGGCCACCGATGGGCCGATCTATTACCCATTTTCCCTGCCAGTCTGCTGTGTGTGGTGTGGATTGTACACACAAACCCAGGAAAGTGCAGTATGAGTGGAATACTAGATGTTATGCCTAGATTTCTTTTTCTCCCCTTAGCTGCCACCTGATAGGTTTTTCCTGTGTGTGTGTTGTTGTTTTCTGAGGGGGAGGATTGCTTTTTCCTTCTCCCCATGTCAGATGGAAAGCTAACAGGTCTTTGTCTCCACCGCTGTCTCTTCGGTCGAAGGTGTTTACGTCATGATTCATGGAAACAAGTAGCTTTAAAGAAGCGTGCCTGATGCACTTGGCACACCATCACAAGGGTTGCTGCTGATGTACTTTCCACCTTGGTGTGAGAGAGATAAGGGGAAAAGAACCAGCTTTAAAATGTGATTTTGTATTTTAAAAAAAACTTCTGTGGTCAACCTTAAAAGTGTACTTGATATTGTGGCATTTGGAATAGGAAACCCTGGGGAAGGGGTTTTTAAGGAGTGATTATAACATCTATTGAACCATGCAAACATCCAAATTTTGCTGCCTCTGGTACTAGTGGTTCCACCTGGGCTTAGAGGGGAACACTGGGTGAGTGTGACCCTTTGAGAACACGTTCCACCTCCCCTGTCTCATCTGCTTAAGGCTGTTGGTCACATAAACTTCAAATCCCAGTTCAGTGGCCTGTGTGGCACGGGATTTTTAGGGCTTGGTGTAGGGGGAGGAAGGTTCATGTTTATTCTGATGTGAAGAATAACCAGTTTCTTTAATTC